AATGAAATTATTGCTCTCTTCATTGGTCTCTTAGAGTTCGAGTAGTTAATAAAAGGTTAAAAAAGAATCGCATTATAGATATCAGTGCTCGAACAATAAATACATACAAATCTAAAAACTTTGGCTAGTAGTCAGGGCTGGGGAGATGAGTTACGATTCTACAAATTTAATTTTTTTTTTATTATTAAGATTTATTTAAACATAAATATGAAAAACTATACCCAAGAGGCCAACACAAAGAGAGAAAAAAAAAAAGAGAGAGTCAATTACCTAAAAAATACGTTCTTGGTGTGAAAAATCCTCACAAATCTATACAAACTTTTAGAGATAATCTGTTGGCTACGAAAGATTTTGGGAGCAGAGTTTAAGAACAAACTCTCCCTAACCAGAGTTTGAGGTTGTGATTCCTTAAAGGTGGAGGAACTTAGATGGTTGATGGGATTGAGAATTGAGTTCGTGTTGATTGCCTAGAGCATTCAAATCTTGATGAGGAACTTAGAAACTAGTTAAAGTTCGAGAAATGTATAATGCCAAATTTATTCGGTTGTGTAATAAGTCATTTAGGTCTTAACAAGAGACTGCATTAATGAAATTAAATGTTCGGTGTACTAACCGACACTGAATACTTTTTGCACATTCAATGCCCGTTGCCTTTGCTTGCCCAAAAGGTAATGTTTCTCAGATATAGACACATGCTTATGAGGAATATTTATTGATTATTGAAACCTCAAGGCCGAACGTTTATTAAGCATTTAAGAACACTTCTCATAACTAGTTGCAATGCACTTTTTTGATCTTTCTGACCTTTTGGGAAGACAGAATCACGCCTCTTGGTCCTTTGAGTATGAATCTTCAACAGACAGTCTACAGATAGTCATAAACTGAGAGTGTCTCCTTGGCTTTTGTCATCATTGTTCCCCTGGCGCCATTGTACTCGAGAGCGAGTTACGTTGAGCCAGGAGTGCCAAATCACCCATAGGTGCACGCCACCAATATACGGAGAGTTGTTGACTCATTTTTGTCCCCCCAGCGGGCTCAGCGTGGGTAGAATTCAGTAAGCCGGTGAAGTGTTTGGAATCTCTCTGCAGGACCGAGCATGTCCTCCGTTCTAGACACCATACCTCGTGTAATGAACATTGTTTTGATAGAATGGGACAACAAATGCCACGTGTCTATAACTGATTGGTGACAGACTACGCCTCGTCATTGTGATTTATTCCACACTCCCGTTATACATGCAATTGAACTTGAAGGAAAAAAGTAAATTCTAATAAAAAAAAATATCAAAGCAAAAAGACAAATCAAACAGTATCAAGTAAAAATACTTAAAGAGGAAAAAAAAACAAAAGGAATACTTAAAAAGCGTTATGAAACAATACCTTATCTGCAGGTAAAAACTTTGGACGAAGTTGATAGAACATAATGATTTTTTTGTAATAAAAGAAAATTGATTATATATTTTTTTCCCAAATCTTAAGCCTGCGATATTGAATATAGAATTATATCTCATGATTTATGGGATATTATTTGACTAATTAGCCATATTCAATGAAATGATATGTATTTTAATTTGAGCAATGCTACAAAACTCAAATGAAACCCAAAAAGCTGTAACCCAAATGCATATCATCCCTTCGATGAGTGGGTTTCATCAATTTTTTTAGTGAGATCCACTCATCCCACATTCATCCAAAAAATGATATGTATTTGAATTTTAACTTTTAGATTTCATTTAGGTTATATACCATTTTCCTTCTAATTTATGGCAATCCCAATGTTTGAGAGGTATGATTGTTTTGTTGCTTTATATATAGGGGCATATCTCATATGTATTGATCAATTATGAATATTAGAGACGTAGTCATAGGTATTAGCACCAAAAAACGCTAAATTTTTTTTGTCTTGATCTCTTGTTCAATTATTTTATTTGTTTTTAGTCAAATTTTAACATGGTATCAGAATGAGTCGATCAAACACATGTTGGATTTACTTCCACATCGTATTTGCATGATGTCAGTTTCGTTTTAATATGTGCATATCCTTTGTGTTTGCACAATTTTTATTCCATGCACACGTTTTAATTTCAAATTTGCATAGTATTCATCCCGTGCGTCGTGTCTGCATGATGTTCACTCCATGCTCATGGTTAACCTCTTTATATTCATATGATGATCATTTCGTGCAAATTTTCTGACTACTTATCGTTCAGGGGGAGTCCATCCAGACAACCGTAGTTATGGGCATCAAATCTCACGTGATGAATCATTCCTTGCAATGTTAATTGTCGTAGTCTTTGCAGCTTCAATTGTCGTTGTTCCGACAACTTCAGCAAAGTTGGAATTGCGACATCCATTCTGTCTTCCGTTTAAGTTGGACACTTCAAATCTACAATTTTGTGCCCAACTTGAGGGGATTATTCAAGATAAAAATTAAATATACAAATAAGAGTCTTGTGAGGTTGAGTCAATATTGAATCGGTGCTGGATGATCTAATTCAAATGAAATTTGGATCACGTGTGTTTAGTAACATGAGCTATCAAGCTATCAAAATCAGTGGATGATTTTAAGTTATGGGGTGGTATACAATTTGTTCTTTCTTGAATCTCTTTGGACAGAATATTTATTTGATTATTTTTTGTTGTATTCTATTTGGTTGTGTTGTTGTAATTCTAAAACATATTGGATACATTGACTGTGTGTTTGTATTGATTTCAGACAGGATTTTGGTAGCCAAAAGGTTCAATGCATTGCCAGTCAATAGGCCCTTGGAGCGATTGAGGTAGGATGATTAGTGAGGTGCTAGATCTATGTTCTGATCTCGCATGACATGGGATATCTGAAATATGAGTATGTTGCTTTTGTTTGAGATATTTTTGTGATCCTTGGTTTATTTGGTATTTGATAGGGTTGAGCATATTATTTCTCATCGTTACAATTTTATTGAGACAATTAACACTCTATAAATTTTAACTGGATGTAAATTATCAATTTTTTAACTGAATAATGTCTCTAAAAAACCGAAGCGTTATGAGATATTATGAGATTAATTTGCCACTTTAGTGGCATGATTTGATATTTTGACTTACGTTAATCCCTACGATTAAAGGACATGATTTTATTTGTCATCCTATATAAACGGGTGTATCTCATACGTGTTGATTAGTTAAGAATAATAGATATATGCTCCTTTGTGGGTTTTGTGTCGTGGACTTAGGTCTTAGGACTGAACTACATTAATTCCTTGTGTCTTGACCTTTTTGTTCATTTATTTCATTTGTTCATATTTAAATTTTAACAAACAAAAACTAGGGGGGGATTCAAGGTCTAGATAGGAGTGAATTCATTTGCCAAGTCTTTAATGGGCCTTTTGGATACTCGAGAGAAATTTCGGGGACAAACTAATAAAAATAACAAAAATTAGTTCTTAAATATTATTCCTTTAGCATATAAGAACTCAGGAAGATCCATTTGAAAGCTATGAGTTTCACTTTATTTTATGGCAAGACGATCTAGTATTACAATAATTGAAGAAATCTACTATTGAAGTGAATAAGAATTCAAGAGAATGATGCATAAATTATTTCTTCTCTTATACTATTTCAAGTTGGCCTTCATTCCTTTCCTATTCTCTTTTGGGTAGTTCTACAGGACCATTTTTTTTTGTTTCATAACGAAAGTTACAGCTTTTTGTAACAACCGAAAATGCGAGAATTCAGTGTGGAAGCAGAGTTGAGTGTTGAAGAGATTGCAAGGGTTAAGCGCAGAGTGCCATGCCAATTGAACATGATCTTGGATTGGGTGTGAGTGTGACAGTGTGTTGGTGACTTAGAGTTCGAGGTCGAGTGTGGTTATGTGGAAGGAATTGAGCAAAAACTACAGTTTAGACGGACTAGGGTTAGTACGGTTCTGGACAATTCGGAGGTTCGGATTTGATTTGCGGAATTAATTGGAGGGGGTAGTAATGTTAGGGAATGAAATCAGGGTGTAAGGAGTGAATTAAGTAATGAGTTTGAATTTAATGTAGGTGGAAGGAATTCAAGCAAAAACGACGATTTAGATAAAATAAAGTTGGTACTATTCTGGACAATTCGGGGGTTCGAATCTAATTTGCAGAATTAATCAGAGGGGGTAGTAATATGAGGGAATAAAATCAGGGTGTCATAAGTGAATTTATTAATCAATTTGAATTTTAAAAAATTAAGATTTTAAAATTTTGAATAAAATTATAGAATTGTTGCTCCTCCCAAGAGAGAGAGAGAGAGAGAGAGCAAAGAATTGTATGGGGATATCTATAATTAGCACAACAATTTATTTTGCCACAAAAATTTAAATTTATATATCAACAACATACAAGTCGCAAGAAGGAAAATTTGCTATATTCCTAATCATATCTTGCGTCACAAGTTATCATTGTCAGAATTCAATTTAATTCTCACACAAAATTTTAGTTTTCAAGAGTGAAATTCATGCATTTCTCTCAAATTAAAAACCTCGCACTCGATGTGGCATTCCATTTAGGCATGTTTTTTTTTTATATATTTCAGTTCAATAACATGACATGCATTTATGGTAACAAATATTGAAATATTTAATCAAATAAATGAATAAATACGGTTAAATAATCAACATGTTTAATTTAAATCACAATTCAAAGGCTAAAAATTTCAGAACATCAAATAATTAATGTATTAATTTTTTTGGATTTTTTTTCTGAATTTTTGAGATTTTTAAATAGCATGAAAATATACTCGGAATTCACTAAAAATAGGAATTTAATTCCAAAAATTGAATTTTTAGAATTTTACTAGCTCTTAGAGTTCATCTAACTTTCCATTGGGCTGCCCAATGTTTGCTTTGTCTACTGCCCACTGTTACAAGGTGCTGTGTCTGCTATCCTCTGTTGCAGTGTTGTTGTGCCCACTTCCCACTGTTGCAGTCTCATGGCCCCTACGTCCCACAAATTTCTTCCCCTGGGCACTTCTTGTTGTTGTTGTTAAGGATTATCGGGTACCCTTTTTTCTGGCATTTTTGCTGTTTGGGGTTGTTGCTTGCTGGTTGTGACTGCTGGTCGTTGCTTGCTGGTTGTGATTGCTAGTGCTTGGGGCTGTCCTGTTGAGTTCTGTTGGGCTGTATTGCCTTGGTTGTGCAGCTGCTTGAGCTGTTTTGCCTGTTCTGTGCTGGGCTGTTTTTTGCTTTGGCTGTGCTGCAGCTTGGGGCTGATCTGCTATGTTGTGCTGGGATGTTATGGTTGCAAGTAACTATGATATGGCATTTCAGTGGTGTTAAGGGGTTGAAGTAATGGTTACATTCTCTGTTTTTTTTTTGTCTACCAATATATTTTTTTCAACAAGTCTGTGGGATATGCCTTTTTTTCAAGGTATCTCTTACAGACTTGTGTTTCGAGCTTTGACTATGTGTTTTTTTGTTTGATGTTTGTTTTTGAGTCCTATGTGACTTTATTGTACATTTTGTGGGTGATTATCCTTGTTTACCTATTTTATTTTAATACATTTTACCTTCCGAAAAAAAAAAACTTTCCATTAGAGTTATTGAGTGAGTAACCCTTTTAAGCTTACTTTTAGGCAATCAAAAACATATTATTTTTTTTGGGATTTAAAAATTTAAGAAAAATTACTATCATATTCTAAATAGTTATACGAGTATACAGAAAAACTGGGAGTAAAAATGGACATCGAATGACACTACACTCTCTGCAAGGCGAGAGTGAACATGCACAAGAAATTGGAATTTATCTCTCACTTGCTCTTGCAAGTCACACCCCGCCTTCCGGACCTCCGTTTGCTTCACCACCACTACCATTACATTCGTCTTGATCTCTAGAATACAAATGTGCTTTCAAAATTCATTTTTGACCTTTCTAGAGTGTGGGGGGTGAACTGCACTCTTCATCTATGAGAGTGAGATTCGTTTTGGTTTGGTTCATCTTCAACCTCAAGGACTCTAAAATGTTAATTTTTAATCACAACTTTAAACGCTCATGTCTCTCAATTAAATCGATATCAAGCGTGTAACATACAGTTGGAAAGTTTGAAGACAAGGATTTTAAGCGTATAAGATTCACATGGGCAGCCCAATTTAAGGTAGTCCTACATGTACAAGACTTGTACCAAGTTAAGGTAGTCCAGTTCTGGTAAGGACACCTATGGGTACCCCAATTTGATCCAACCCAAAGTCCAACAGAGAAAAGAGCATTGGAAGGAGGACACATAATGGAACGAGTTACTTAAATTCGACTCAAAGTTAGACAAGCTTGACTCGTCTTTTAAACGAGCCAAACTAGAACATTTTTTTAGACTGGTTTAAAAAAACGAGTACGATAGACTCGACTCGTTTATGTGTAAATAATCAGACTCGATTTGGATTCAACTCGTTTTACACTTGTTCAGGATCAGAATGTTTTTTAAACGAGTTAAATTTGAATAATTTTTTAAATTTATTCAAATAAACAAGCTTGACAGGCACGACTTGAGTTCATACGATTATCAACCCTAATTGAAAGGGATCTTGATCCCCTTTTTTATTGTCAATAACATAGTTTCCTTTTTCATATTGCTGTGTATGTCATCTTGTTGACCTAGAAACTAACACAGCGACTTTCATGGCAGCCGGTGAGCAAAACTGATATCTTTCAAGGGAAATATCCATTAGTTGGTATTGTACCAATGACTTTGATTTGGATGATTTTTAATCATTGATTAAACAAACAATAAAGTAATAAACAATAATAAAATGAAATAAATGTATGCTTGTCATATTTTTAATGGATGAAAAATAAAATTTAGTAACAAAAAAATTATTTTTTTGTATCTTTTTTCAAAGGACAACGCCAAACGCCAGAGGAACTAGTCGGCGTTGGCCAACCACTGATTATACTGGGACATGATCTAATTCAGCTTAAATTACGGTAGTTAGTCTCTGAGTTTGAAAGAATAATTGGCATAAGCAGAAATAACGTGTAACCAAAAAAAAAAAAAGACCCACTAACGTGTAACCAAAAAAAAAAAACCCACTAAAGTTCATAGAACCGCATGCATAAATGTGTCTATTATATATACGGAGGCCAACTTACACTTTGACCCTTTAATTTCCATATTTTCACATTATATATATCTCAAAATATCCCATTATGAATTGGTCACTTACCCCTCAATTACATTACTTTTTTTTTCCCCAGTGTATCACAACCTAATGGAAATTCTGTTTGAGTATTTATAATTACAGTAAGTAATCAATAAGACATTCTGAAAAACTTGGCATAGGTGAACTGAGGTTGGATCATAATCTGAAGATGAGAAGTATACTGTGTTCATGGACAAGTCTACGGTACCAAAAAAAAAAAAAAATATTGTTACCATATTCTTATTTATTACTTTTATGAGTATTTTTACTATTTTGTTGTAAAATAACCCAAAAAATTATAAAAACATCTATATAATAAAGTAAAACTAGCAATTGCTCGTGTCTGAAGACACGGTGTTATTCGTAAATTAGTTACAAATATTTATTCATATATAAATGTAAAGTAAAATACAACATTGTAATAAATGATGAACAAAATGAGTTTGCTAATATTTTTCATAACATTAACCTACATGCATAACATTTATTTCCATATTAAATTATCATGCCACAAACATTATGATAATAATTCAAATATCTGAAAAAATATATCGGTTAACAATATTCAATGTTTTGTTTTTGATTCAAAATCTAAGATTTTAACATTCATAATCAACTTTATCTAAATAACAACAGAATTCATAATTAAAATGAAAATTAAAACAATTCTCCCACAAATAAATTAAGTCTGCAGATGTTGTCAAATGACCAAATATAACTATCAAAAATTCAACCGACTTCCAAAAGATACGACCTGACTATTGAATTTATATGATTTGAGTTTATAATAGTGCTTTTAATTTTTATACCATTCTTCTTGATTATTTATATTCTTAGTATATTTTCTTAAATTAAATATTATTTAATATTGAATTATTTAATAAAGATTGTTGCTTCGTGTTGTTCACTAAATATTGAATTTTTATGATTCGTGTTCATAATATTGCTTATAATTTTGTATCGTTTATCTCGTTTGTAATTTTGTATCATTTTTCTTGGGTATTTGGATTTGGATTATTTAGTAGGAGCATCTCCAACCATAACTCAAATTTTTAGTCAAATTCGAGTTAGGGTTGGAAATGCCCTAAATATTGTTGCATTGTGTAGTTCACTAAATATTGAATTTGTATGATTCATGTTTTTAGTTGAATTTTATTTTGTATATTTTAAATGTTAAAAATATTTTCTTTAATAAATTTCTTGATATCTGAGTTGCCCAATAACTTAAATTTAATTTTATATATTTTACATGTTAAACATTTTTTCTTTGTTAAATTAGATTTTTTGTAAGTTATGCTTTTTTATGGAAAAAATAAAATTGATTATTGAATTTGTATGATTCGAGTTTATAGTAGTACTTTTAAACTAAACGTTAATCATATTCTTAGTATATTTTCTTAAACTAAACGTTATTTAGAATTGAATTATTTAGTAAAGATTATTGCTTCGTATTATTCACAAAATATTAAATTTATATGATTCGTGTTCATAGTATTGCTTATAATTTTGTATCGTTTCTCTCACTTTTAATTTTGTATCATTTTTCTTGGGTATTTAGATTTGGATTATTTAGTAAATATTGTTGCTTTATGTTGTTCACTAAATATTGAATTTGTATATTTCGTATTTGTATATGAATTTAATCTTATATATTTTAAATGTTAAGCATATTTTCTTTAATATATCTTTTGATATTTGAGTTGCCTAATAACTTGAATTTAATCTTGTATATTTTACATGTTAAGCATATTTTCTTTGTTAAATTAAATTTTTTGCAAGTTATGTTTTTTTTTTTATTGATTGTAGAAAAAATAAAATTGACTATTGAATTTGTATGATTCGTATTTGTAGTATTGCTTGAGTGAAAGAGAGAGATACATAGGAATATTTTCGTGATATATACTATCTATATAATATTTATTACATAATTTTCTTTCAGAGAAAGATACAGATGAATATTTTTGTAATATATACTATCTCGCTTTGTGATATATACTATTTATTTACGAAGAAATGTAGTATTTGCTTGAATCAGATACTATCTAATATTATGAAAAATTGATATACTATCTATCTATCGTGAGATACAGAGAAAAATATTATGAAAAATTGATACTTTTGGTGTGAATTGGCGTGAGAGAGAGAGAGAGAGAGAGATTTGCTTGATTTAAGGAAAAGATTTTGGAGAATTAAATTTTGGAATATTAATTTTAGAAACTATAATTTTTGAGTGGCAAAAATATTTTAAAAGAGTTAATGTGGTACGTCGAATTAAGACGATCTGAGACGTCAATAGCTAAAGACAATTTGGGATAACATCATTCATTAGATGATTTTTTTTTTGTCACGAAATGATTTAAATCACTCTTTGTCTTTAAAATTCAAATTCGTTTTACTTTATTATATAGATTTAGAGATACGGTACTTAATTTTTTTACGGGTACCCGAGTCTAAGTAGTGTGTTCATTAAATGAACAGATATCTATCTATTTTGTGTTTAAAATATTTGGTTGGCATTCAAATTGATTAGTTGGTCCGATTTATTATTTAAATTGACAAGCAATACCAAATTTCAATGGTCAAACACCTAACTCAATAAAAGAGTTTTCAAAGGTCAAAATCCTTCACATTTCGGCTCTTTGAATAAATAACTCTTCGTATTTACTTCGCATCTATCCTAATTATGAAATTTATTATAACGATGATATTAAGTCAACATTATCTTTTAATCGAGTGCCAATGACCTTTATCATCTGGTGGTTTCTTGGTCCTCGGCCGGAGAGAGAGTTTGGGAAGCAATTTATTTTTATTTTTATTTTTTTCTTAAGTTTCATAATATAATTTATTGAAATAAAAATATGAGTTGTGTCCAATCACATTCTATCACTTGATCATATAGAGTAATGCTAGATAAACTTAAAAATTAGACTTGATAATCTTAACCATTAAATAGGTAGTGAGTCCTAATAAATGCTAGAATCCATAGTAAAATCAATGATTGAGATTATCAAATTTAATTTTTAAGTCTAATTTTTAAATTTATGTAGCATTGCTCGATCATAAACTAATTATCTAATTCCCCCAACTAACTAAC